CCCTCCCAGGACTGACCGGGGGAGGTGGGGTCCCCCTCCCAGGACTGACCGGGAGAGGTGGGGTCCCCCTCCCAGGACTGACCGGGGGGGATGGGTCCCCCTCTCAGGACTGACCGGGGGGATGCGTCTCCTTCCCAGGACTGAGCAGGGGGGTCTAGGACTGACCAGGGGGGTGGGGTCCCCCTCCCAGGACTGACCGGGGGGATGGGTGCCCCTCCCAGGACTGACAGGGGAGTGGGGTCCTTCTCCCAGGACTGAAGGGGGGGTGGGGTCCTTCTCCCATGACTGACCGGGGGGGTGAGGTCCCCCTCCCAGGACTGACCGGGGGGATGGGTGCCCCTCCCAGGACTGACCGGGGGGTGGGGTCCTCCTCCCAGGACTGATGGTGGGGTGGGGTCCTTCTCCCAGGACTGACTGGGGGGGTGGGGTCCCCCTCCCAGGACTGACCGGTGGGGTGGGTGCCCCTCCCAGGACTGACCGGGGGGATGGGTCCCCCTCCCAGGACTGACCAGGGGGATGGGTGCCCCTCCCAGGACTGACCGGGGGGGTGGGGTCCTCCTCCCAGGACTGATGGCGGGGTGGGGTCCTTCTCCCAGGACTGACTGGGGGGGTGGGGTCCCCCTCCCAGGACTGACCGGTGGGGTGGGTGCCCCTCCCAGGACTGACCGGGGGGATGGGTCCCCCTCCCAGGACTGACCAGGGGGATGGGTGCCCCTCCCAGGACTGACCGGGGGGGTGGGGTCCTCCTCCCAGGACTGATGGCGGGGTGGGGTCCTTCTCCCAGGACTGACTGGGGGGTGGGGTCCCCCTCCCAGGACTGACCGGAGGGATGGGTGCCCCTCCCAGGACTGACCGGGGGGATGGGGTCCCCCTCCCAGGACTGACCGGAGGGATGAGTGCCCCTTCCAGGACTGACCGGGGGGGTGGGGTCCCTCTCCCAGGACTGACCGGGGGGATGGGTCCCCCTCCCAGGACTGACCAGGGGGGGTGGGTTCCCCCTCCCAGGACTGACTGGGGGGGTGGGGTCTCCCTCCCAGGACTGACCAGGGGGGATGGGTCCCCCTCCCAGGACTGACCGGGGGGTGGGGTCCTCCTCACAAGACTTATGAGGGGTGGCTGGCCTCCCTGCAGGACTGTGGGCCTCAGCCTGGTGCAGAGCCAGCGTGGAGTGGTCAGCCCCAGTGATGCTGCAGGGCGTGGACATCAGCCGTGGGGCTGGCAGAAGAGTGTGAGTATCACTGAGAACCTGGACATAGCAGAGGGAGCCTCGAGGAAGGACAGGGAGCAGTCGAAGAGCCCTGCAGGTAGGAGGGGTGGAGGGGACGGCAGCCAGGCACGCTCCACCTCAGGACAGAGGGACGGCAGGCTGGCTGCGGTGAACGGGACCGAGAGTCTCCACTAAGACGTACCAATTACTGGCCCAGAACCGAGCAGTGTCTCTAGGGAAAGCCCAGCACACCGAACGCTGAATAGCCCTTAGAAGAGGAGACTTAGGGCCAGCAGCATCTCCGCACGATAAAGACAAGGATGTGGAGCCTCTTCTCCCACACAGAGCACTCTGTCTATTTGGCCTTGTTCTTCTATGTTCTCTCCCTTTCTATCCAAAAGCTTCTATTTTTGCCACAAAGAGACTTCCCAGATCAGGTGTCTCACAGAACTACATTTATTCTTCTACTTCAGACCTCTCCAGAGGTCCCAGCCACAGAGCCGGCCAACAGCATCCCCCCTCCATGTCACAGCAAACGCGGCTGTGGGGCCTGGGGTCTCAGAGGGAGGAGCCCTCGTTAATAAACCGTGCTGGAAGGGTAGCCTCACTGCACGCCCAGAATGGCTGAGTTCACAGCTGAGCTATCAAGAGAAATTTAGGTTCTTGGACGGTGGAAAGCTCAGTGGAGAGGGGACAGGACAAGCGGGTGGGGGGAAGAGTCAGAGCTAACGGCTGTGGGTCTGGGGCGTCCTGTGTGGTGGGCGAATCCCGTGCTCCGATGCACACCAGGAGCTGGGGGCCGTGCAAGCTTTCAAAGAGGACAGAACTTAGAGGTTTACTGTCTTGGGTGCAACCTCATCCATGTATCCATTGATGTGGCCCCCCTCCACCTGCCCGTCCATCCTCATCCATCCAGCTCTCCAACCTGTCATCACGCGCCCACGACAAAAGCTAGTTTCTTGCTCAAGGTCAGTGAGTGCAGAAGGTGGCACCAGATTTCAAGATTCTACTGCAGCTGTTTCCCAAGTTTGGTCCCTGGACCAGCACCACCAGCATCACCTGAGACCTGCAAAGTGCAGATTCTCAGGCTCTGCCACACACTTCCTGAATCAGAAGCTCAGGGGAGGGGGAACGGGAATCTGTGACGGCTCCCCCCAGGAGGTTCAGAGGCCCTGGCTGGAGGACCACTGTTCTGCATCCGGCACCTGTTTATTTGTTTAATTTTTTAAAAAAGATTCCATTTATTTGACAGAGAGAGAGATAGTGAGAGAGCGCATGAGCAGGGGGAGGGGCAGAAGGGGAGGGAGAAGCTGACTCCCCACTGAGCAGGGAGCTGATGCAGGACTCGATCCCAGGACCCTGAGATCATAACCTGAGCCGAAGGCAGATGCTCAACCGACTGAGCCACCCAGGCACCCCCCAGCACATGTTTAAACCGACTATAGATCCATCAGTGTCTCTCCCTCAAGTGTTTCTCACTTTTTCACCAATTACTGTGAATCTAAAGAGAAAACCAAAATAATGAAAATGCTGGAAAGGGAGCCCTCACACAGCAGAGGAGCTTTTGCAAACTGCTCCTGGCCTTGTGATTAAAGATTAGGTTCAAGAGCACGTACCCTAAATTCTCAAGGTCAGCCAATACAGGTCCCGGGAGCACATGGCGGCCCCACCCTCCCTTACGTGCAGACCAACCCGGACCCCGGGAAGCAGCCTATCAGTCTGAAGGTAGGACAAGGCAGCAGCATGTCCAGACGAGCGGACAAAGAGAAATGCCTGTCAGCTGGGGTGGAGCCCCGGAGGGAAACAGGCAGGAAGCCTTGGACAGGTCACTGAGCTCCAGCCCTCAGCTCTGCCCTGGTCGTCAGGGCCGTCCCAGCCCCATGCCATCACGTAGACCAGCACACAGACCTGCGTCCTGCCACCTCCTGACCCTGGAGGTGCACCACCGTTGTGACCTCTGCGGACAGCGGTTCTGGACAGACAGGGAGCTCCTGTCAGGATGCACATGGGTCCGGCCCCGAGCTGGGGAGTTCGCTGGCGTCGACCTAGATTCCCATCCCCGCAAGGGAAGGTGTGCGTGACCCACGGTCGGCGGATGGCACTGCGTCAATGTCACGGGATACACGCCCGCTCCACGTCACGAAGCCTGCACTGTGGGGTCCGGGCACGTAGCCGGATGGAAAAGGAGTTTGTGTGGAAGGAGCTGCCGGCGTCAGGGGGACCCAGGCAGGGGTGCATCCACTCCCCACTAAACAATACCAGGGATTCGTAAAGCGGAGTCTGTTGACCTGGATCTAAGAGAGACTTGGTGAAGTCAGCAGCCGTGGGGGCCCAGATGTGACAAAGGACAAACACGTGGGATGTGCTGCTTAGCGCAAGGCTGTGGTCAACATGAAGGCTCAGCTCGCAGCACGATTCAGCAAGCAGCCTGTCCTTCCTGCTCTTCAGAGAAGCCTTTTTACAATTCAAAATGCACATGTGTCTTTCCGAGCTCGCTCGCGAAGAAACCTCCATCCCTAAAACCTAGGCAATGACATCACTCTTGGAACTGTTCTTGCTCCGTCATTCCGAATCCAAAGCCTGAGCACAGAGGGTGTGAAGAGCGGGCAGAGCTGCTGCCCCCCCCCACCCCCCGCAGGGCAGGTAGGGGTGCTTCTGTGGGTCTGCGAGCCACTGTGCCCTTCACCCCACGACACAGGCCATACCCCATACCCAAGCAAAACGCAACCGAGTTCCAGGAAAAGGGAGCTCTGTCTCTGGGAATAAGAGGCCGGATGGCACACGATGGCTTTATTTTCTTTTGACCCATATACAATAAACCCAGTAGCTTTAATCACAAAAATCACCATTAAACACAGAATGTCTCCAAAAATCTTGGTTAGACCATCACACACAATGACATTCAACCCTGGCTTTGCTCTCAAAACCCAGTGGGGTCGCCCACTTACGAGAGAGAGAGAGAGAGAGAGAGAGAGGAAGGAAGGATACCACGCCCAAGCCAAGTGACAGAATCTAATCTCTCAGAAGAGTATTATTTAGACCACGAGATAATGATATACGACATAATATATGGCAATATCAGGCAAAAACTTGGCAACTTACTTTTAATGATATACGGTTATTTCCTCTTCATTTCAAGGAAAACTAGGGACTGCGGACGCCCTCCTGCTGCCCAGTGCAGCATGGAAACCCAGAGGTGGCCGATCGAAAGCTGAGAGCAAGACACTGCCAGCCCAGCGTTCTCTCAGATCTAAAAGAATCCATTCAAACTACTCCTCAAAGCTCATTTTAAGTAACCCTTTAATTAATACAGAAAACGAAGGTCTGGTTGGGCTCCTCCCCCCTTACCTACACCCCTTTCAAGCGTTTGTCTTAGGTTTTATTTATATTTGGTAGAAAAAAGAAGCATCTGATTAATTCAGATTTTTCCTCCTCAAAATGAGCTGCTGAGAGCCCCACCCCCGCACGGGGCTCTAGATTATTCTCGACCCACAGATAGGGATGCTTTCTCCACACGCAACTGACATGCAGGCTGCAGAGGTGGGGCTCGGCCAGGGCTCGGCACACACCGGGATCCCCAGTGTGCAGGACGGTACCTATCCTAGGCAGAACGAACGCAGGCTGACCGTCCCCAGAGACCTATCAGCGGCCAGACAGATGCCCCTCATAGCTGCTTCCTCTGGCTGCTGGGGAAGAGCATGAAGGCTGTCCTGCAGACAGGAGACGCATTCCCTACGATTCAACACAGGATGTCAGGCTTCAGAACACAGGACTCAGGGCCGGCGGCTCCTACCCGTGCGCCTGCAAACCGCATTTAGCCTCTGCACCATCTCTTCCAGAGCCATCTCTTCATTTCTCAGCCAAAACCTCATCGTCCGTCAGAACGAGTGACCCTCTGCAGCTTGCTTCCCTCCGCAGCAGAAGGTGCCTCGTGGGTGGGGTCGAGCGAGTGGGGAGGGGGCACGGCCGCGCCTCCCTTCCTGGGATTGGTTCCCGAGCCCCGCCAAGGGGGCGCGCCCTGCGACAGGGGGGCTGCTGGGCGGAAGCGGAAGCGGCGCGCCTGCCCCGCGTGTCCCCACGGCCACTCGGGAGCCCTGCGCGCGCAACCCCGCGGTCACCTGGAGCCCTGCGCGTGCACGGCCGAGGTCACCCGGGAGCCCTGCGCGCGCGCCCCCGCGGTCACCTGGAGCCCTGCGCGTGCACGGCCGAGGTCACCCGGGAGCCCTGCGCGCGCAACCCCGCGGTCACCTGGAGCCCTGCGCGCGCACGGCCGAGGTCACCCGGGAGCCCTGCGCGCGCGCCCCCGCGGTCACCTGGAGCCCTGCGCGCGCACGGCCGAGGTCACCCGGGAGCCCTGCGCGCGCGCCCCCGCGGTCACCTGGAGCCCTGCGCGTGCACGGCCGAGGTCACCCGGGAGCCCTGCGCGCGCGCCCCCGCGGTCACCTGGAGCCCTGCGCGTGCACGGCCGAGGTCACCCGGGAGCCCTGCGCGCGCAACCCCGCGGTCACCTGGAGCCCTGCGCGTGCACGGCCGAGGTCACCTGGGAGCCCTGCGCGCGCGCCCCCGCGGTCACCTGGGGGCCCCCCACAGTATCAAGTGTGCTCCGCACGCAAAGGCACAACCCGCTCCCTGTCCCTGGCAGCCCTGGGTCTCTGCGCCTTCTCGGGGAAGGAAGGAGGAGCTGCAGGACAAGACCAAGGCGGCGCCAGCACCTGCTCCCCCGCTTTACCTCCCGCGGCCCTTGGGCAGGTGCAGAGGCCGCAGCAGCCGAGCCCACGCTCTCCACGCCGACGCATGCTGCCCTGCCGCCCCAGCTCACTGGGTCTACGGGGGTCCCCAGTGGGTGTGCGGGTGGCCAGGGTGGACCGGCCGCCCCCCAGCCCGCTGGCCTGGGGACGCAGGGGTGGGGAGGGAAGTGTGCCGCCCGCTTGCTGGGGCCCTCCGACCTCGCCATGGTTGGCACGAAGCCACTGGGCGCATTTTACACCTCAGCGCCCTGCAGACGGGAGCCGTGGTGGCACAGCTGTGGCTGCCACCTCCGAGGACCGAGGGAACAGGTGTGCGGGCACTCGGGATCCTGCGCCGGCCTCTCCTCACCGGGACTTGCCATCCTTATGTGGCTGGCGTTACAGGCACCATGCCCTTCCTTACGGAGTATTTCAGGCGAAGCGCCCATTCCGTACAGGGTTTGGGAAATTCAAGCGTGGAGCGGCTGAGGTTCCACCTGCAGCAACTGTCCACATAAGGGCACCAAGCGGCGCCCCAGGGGCCAGCACACGAAGGTGACACAGCATTTGCCCTCCTAGAGGTCATGGGTCTGGGGGACAAGAAAGATCTGGAAACTAATTGCTGCAGCGTGAAATGAAGGTGAATAGCCACACGTGGACAGTGGCTCTTTTCTTTTTTTTCTTTTCCTTTCCTTTCTTTAACATCAAAACCACTTTCATACGAGCAGTTCCATAGGGTTCAAGTAGAGCCCGGTGAACGGAGGGGTCCAGAAAGGTGTCACCGCAGAGCGCACAGTGAGCCTTCCCCTTGTCCTGGGCTGCCCTCTCTGGAGCAGACCCCACGGAGCCGGACACACACCAGCTGCCTCCACTCAAGGCAGAGCCTAAAATGTCTACAACACAGGTCCTTCTCTCACCCAACTTCCCACTGTCCCAAAGGCAACGACCCCCACACGTGTCCTTCACACCCCCACTTTTCCTCCGCCCAAACCGGTCCCCAGCCACTCACCTGGGTGGGACACCCCCGCCCCCAGGCATCTCCACTCCTCCCTTGCCTGGTTCAACCCCTTTGGAGCGCAGAAGTGTACTCAGGCGGTGCTCAAACTCGAGATGCAGTGGGAGCCCTGAGGGCTTGCTGACCCCACAGGGCTAGGCGCCCCCCCCACGGCATTTCCCATCCTGTGGATCTGGGGGGGGCGGGAATGTGCGTTTCCAGCAGGATCCCAGGCGATGCTGACGCCGCTGGTCCACAAGCTGAGAACGACAGCGAGCCCATCCCATTTTTAAACCAAAAACTAAGTTGAGGGCAAGGCAGACCCTCTGCCCCCTGCACTCGCTGACTCCTGCGCCCTTCGTGCTGGGGCGCCTCCACTCACACTCAGCTTCTTTCCTCAACCCCGTGCCTTCCACTCCGTCCCCGAAGCGCCTCGGCTGGTGCCGTCCCCAGACAAAGCCGCTCCCTCCAGCACTGCCTCAAGCGCTGAGTCTGCTGCCCTCTGTGATGGCTGCTGCTTACAGGGCCACGGGGCCAGGCCCGGTGCCCAGAGGTTGGCTCAAACACCAGGCCGGACGTCACTGTGAAGATGCAATTAACATGTAAGTCAGCTCCCTCTGAGTAAAGCAGACCACTCTCTTGGTGTGGGTGGGCCTCGTCGAAGCAGTCGGAGGCTTTAGGAGACAAAGACTGACCTCCCCTGAAGAAGAGGGAATTCTGTCTCCAGACTGACTTCAGACTGATGTCAGACCCGACCTGCAACATCAGCTCTTCCCTGGGCCTCCAGCCTGCACCTGCCCTGCAGGTTTCAGATTTACCAGCCCCACTGCCACGCGAGCCAGTCACTTACAATAAATCCTTTTCTCCCTCCCTCTTCTCTCTTTCTCATTCTCTATCAAACCTTTACTCTCTCCTTAAATTAGAGCACAAACGGTGCTTTCTATGAAAATCATTTCATATTTGCCTAAAGTATAACAATCATAACAATACACCCAACATTTGCTGAGGACTTAGTATGTTCCAGGGACTCTCCTAACCTCTTTGAACTCATTTAGTCTTCACAAAGAGGTGGGCATGATTCTTACGCTGTTTTATAGACTGTGGCACAGAGAGGTTAACTTGCCCAGGGTCACACAGCTGGTCAGTGGTAGAGGCGGGAGTCAAACTCAGATGCAGATAGAAACCTAGACAACAAGTGTTTGCTTTAGGGAAACGTCATCCTGTCTCTACTGGAATGCCATCCCCAAAGTCCCTTATACAAAATAAGGGACAGGTAGGCAGGGAAGGTCCCAAGCCCAACGCCACATCAGAATCTTGGCCGGTGGGTCCCAAGGGCACAGGCCTGCTTTCTATCGCTGTCTTGCCCCCTCCCAGAGAGGAAAAACAGGCCATGACTGTTCGCCCGCCCCATGAGGCCAGACGGCGCCCAGGTGGAAAGGCAGATGTAATGTTACACCTGGATACCAAACACATCCTCTTAGCAACCATTACAGAAAGTTAGCCATGAAAGGAGGTGAGAAACAGGAGAGCTGGAAGGGTTCTGAGCAACCAGGGGCCCTGGGGAGGCTGCCCTCCTGAGACAGGTGCAGTGCTCTGGGAGGAGGGGGAGACCCCCAGGGCTGGGCGTAACCAGTGGCCTTGCCCGTCCTGCGCTGCCCTGCCCCACCTCAAGGGGGCAGCATGGGGAAAGGGGGGCACTTGGAAAGAATGCTCTGAAGACATGCACACCCATTAACAGCTGGGGTGGGGGGCAGGTGCGTCCTGGAGCACGGAAGGCCACTGGCTCCTGAACAGCTCCTCCCTGGGCAGGGCCAGCTGAGCTGGGTGGGTGGGCTCCCTGCCCCTGCATGGGGCTGGCCGCTAACAAGGACACACATCCCTGTGGCCTGGTGGTGAACAAGCTGGTGAACGAGGCGCATCGGAGGGCAAAATGCCCTGTGGAACTGATGCGAAGCCATATGACAAAGTCCAAGATTTGGGCAGCCCCTGTTCCTGCAATGTGCTCTGGTACTTCATGTCAGTGTTCCCAGACTCTGAGGTCTGCAGCAGCGTGGCTTACAGCAGCGGGGTGTGTGTGTGTGTGTGTGTGTGTGCAAGGGGAGGGGAGAAGGGAGGAGGGCAGGGAGGAAGTGGGGGGAAGGGGGAGCATAGGAGAGAAAAAGGGAGGGGAGGAGGAGTGGGGGGAGAAAGGGAAGGGAAGGGTAAGGGAGTGCCAGGGAGGGGAGGGGGAGAGGAGGGGGGTTCAGGGAAGGGAGGGGGAGGGGTTGGCAGGGATGGGAGGGGCAGGGGAAGAGGGGAGGAGGAGGCAGGGAGGGGAGAGGGAGGGGGATGGGGATGGCAGGGAGGAGAAGGGGATGGTGGGGAGGAGAAGGGGGTGTCAGGGGAGGGGAAGGGGGTGTCAGGGAGGGGAGGGGGAGAGGAGGGGGATGCCAGGGAGGGGAGGAGTGCCAAGGAGGGGAGGGGGAGAGGAGGAGTTTGCAGGGACAGAAGGGGGAGGGGGAGGGAAGAGGGGTTCAGGGAGGGGAGGGGGAGGGGTTGGCAGGGAGGGGCGGGGGAGGGGTTGGCAGGGACAGGATGCGGAGGGGGAGAGAAGAGGGGTTCAGGGAGAGGAGTAGGAGTGGTTGGTAGGGACCAGAGGGGGAGGGGAGAGAAGGGGGTTCAGGGAGGGGTGGGGGAGGGGTTGGCAGGGACCGGAGGGGGAGGGGAGAGAAGAGGGGTTCAGGGAAGGGAGGTGGAGGGGTTGGCAGGGACGGGAGAGGGAAGGGAGAGAAGGGGGTTCAGGGAGGGGCGGGGGAGGGGAGGGGTGCCAGGTTGGGGAGAGGAGGCTGAAAGCAGTTGAGCTGCCCCCATAAGCAGATAACTAACAGGTTTCCCCATCACAACAGCAAACCACATGGCAGCAAGTTGCAAATACACAAAATCTGACTCCATTTATACCAAATTCAGAAACGGGCTCCTCAGCGCGAGCCAAGCCGCAGAGACACACAGCCCCCCAAGCCCTCAGCTGGGAGGCTGCAGAAGCAGGTGGCTTTCCTTGCATAAGCTTGGGGAACAGGGTGTGGTGCGTGGATGCCCGCTACCCAGGCTTGCCCAGGCAGCAACAGGCTTCCCGGGAACAGGGGCTGAAGGAGCCCGGTAGGGTCCCCTGACAGGAGGGACTGCACAGATGGGTGGCTGGAGGAAGGGGCAGAGGGGTGGGGAGGAGGGACGGGGAGGGAGCCGACGTCCTCAGGATGGGAGACCGCCACTAGACACCTCTCAGCCCAAGCCCCAGGCACCTGGCCTGCCGCCACCACCTTGTCCAGGGCCCTGGCTGCCAGCGCCCGGGATGACCTCCCGCCAGCTACCTTTCCTCGAACCCGGGGCCAAACACCGGACAGAATACGCGGGATTCCGGGG